TCACAAGATAGGTTGGTATTGGCATATACTAAAAATGGAGCGTACTCGGTTAAAAGCGGGAATTGGGTTCTGACTCGTGAGGCGGAGGCAATGGACATTGTTCCGGTTAATATCCAAGAGATCAATAAGATTAAGGAGAAGATTTGGACAGTGAGAACTGCTCCAAACATTCGTCTTTTCCTCTTGCGAGCTTTATCCGGGGCGCTTGCAGTGGCAGAGTGTTTGAGGAGTCATGGACTGCATATAAATCCTCTCTGTCAACTATACAAAATGGCGAGGAAGAAACATCTCTTATGTACTTTTTCGTTGCACTCTAGCGTCACAAGTTTGGACTCCACGAATCTCCCATTAAGGTTTCTCAGTTTTAATCTTAGAGAATATGGATTATGTGTTGCGGTTACTAGATAAGGTCGAGCTGCCTGCAAACATCAGGCGGCGATCCCATGGTTTCTCTGAGGAGTATGGAAGGCACGAAACTCAGCCTTATATGCAGATAAACTGAATGACCATCACATTTTAATCGCCACTGCTTTGGAGGAGATGAAAGAATGGACTCTACAGAACCAGATTATCTCACAAGAGTTTAATGTAGAGATGAGGCGAAGTATAGTCAGAGATTTTAGATGGATCATACCAACTCCTGGCCGATTAAAATGCAACATTCAATCGTCATGGATTAATGACATCTTTCACTGTGGTGGAGCTTGGATACTTAGGGATCACACAAGCAGCGTTATTTTTCATGCTCATGACGCTTTCCTACCGAATTTAAACCGTATATCGGTGAAACTGCAATTTGTTCTCTGGTGCCTACAAAGTCTTCATGAACTGAGGTTTGATTCGTGTGAATTGTGGTCAGATTGCAATGCAGCAATGGAAGCTCTTACGAAACCTTTAGGGTGGCCAAAATACCGTTCTCAGCTTGACAAGATTGCACAAGCATTACAGGTGATGTTGGGGGTAAGTTTTCATCTCTCTTTACCGAAAACCAATTCGTTGGCTAGAGATATTGCTTGTAGTGTGACCAGGGGCGGACCCACATAGGAAATAGGGGTCTGTTGCACCGGGTAAAATCTTGAAATTCTTTAGTGATCCTTAAAGAAATTATTGAATGCACCCCTAAAACTTTTTGTTTGCACCGGTTAAAATTTTATGTCCTTTGGTTTATTGTTTTTTAATGGCAATTAACTTAATGCTTAGCGAGAGAAATGCTTATATTCATTTATATCTAAGACTAATTACGACATAACTTCTGTTGAGATTAATGACACAAAAAATCCTGATTATATATAACAAATAATCAATTACCAACTATCTATATTAAATACTCCTATGAAGAATTATTTCTTCATCTCATTCATAAATATATTTAGTTTTACCTTTTCATAATTTAGGTTATTGTTGTCAATTGTTTTAAAAAAACCTATCGTTTTAACCGTATTATAATTTGTATCCAATATTTTCCTTAAACTTTTTAAATAATATTAAAAATACAACAGCTTTGATAAAACTCGATATAGGATGCAATTATATATTGTTTAACCTAGAGGAAGCAATGCTTAGTAACATGAGGTGAAAATATTTAGCTAACTTTTGCTGAAAAAAGTAAAAAAGTAAAAAACAAGAAGGACGGTTCATTTCATACTTGGCGTTAGGCGGTCCGACAAGGCTGCAAGAGAGGATTGCTAGGGAGTCATCAACGTCTTGACGAGATTGGTCTCCTACCTCACGTTTCTGGTTTTTATAGGTTTCCTCTGTTATTGCTCTGTTTACTTTTGGAACTTATATTCCTTTCTTCAATACAACGAGACGTTAAGAAAATGTGTTATTTCTGATATATTTTTGAAAAGCTTGCTTTTATTGATTATCATAGCAAAGTATCTACATATACATTTTTACAGGGTTTTTTTACATTAATTCATTTGGATCCGGGTTTTACCCGGGTTTAACTCTATCCGGATCTTGAATAAGAAATTTTAGGAATGTTGTAATAAAAAAATCGCCAATTATGACTACAATTACTCTTATATTTCGGTTTAATCTTATTTCCTAAACTAATTGCCACATTAATCGGCAATATTCCTTTTTTTTCTCTAAATAATTTTCGAATCTTTACAATATCTAAACTAATTACTTGAGATGGAAACTACTAAAAATCAAGGTATTGAAATATTATCTAAACATTCTCGATTTTGATATAAAAATCTAACTAATTACTACAAAATATTGTTGTTTCCTTATCTACTAAATATAATTTTCCTAAACTAATTACTAATAAATACGCCTATTTGTATTAATGATCTAATTAATGCATATTTGACATTTAATTCAAAAGATTTGAGTTTTTTAAAAAACAGTATTAAACAAACGATCCTAATTTGTTTCCAAAAATATCGAAACAAATCTTTCTAATCTTTATAAGCTATCATTGTTTAAATCGGAAAAATCTTTGCACATAAATATATAGCATTAATTTCGTTTTATATCATACATTTTAGTTTTGGTATTTAATTGAAATCGCAAGTCTTATATTTTAGTTTAGATTCCTTATCTAAATATACTCATTAGTCATTATCAGTGTTCTAAAAAGCGGTCTAGGCGGTCGCCTAGGCCCCGACTAGGCGCTAGGCTCTCGTGCCACGCCTAGATAACCGCTTTGACCGCCTAAAATTACATAGATCTTGTTTAATGCATTTTTTCAATTTCAATTAAGTTTTATTTATATATCTATAGTTATAAATATTCATATATTGTTTAATATAAATATAAATAAATGTTTTATCTAGTTTTTGTTTATAATTTCATAATTTTTAGTTTTATATAGATATTTTATATAATTTTTATATATAATATCATATGTATAATATTTTATGTTATAAACGTCTAAACCGTCTAAAAATCGCCTAGGCTCCGATTAGGCGTTCTAGGCGCTAGGCACTAGGTTTAGACGGTTTAAACGTCTAAACCGTCTAAAAAGGAATATGCGAATATTAAGGGGTACCATTATGCCTAGCGCCGAATATATTGTTTAACAAAAACTATGTTTTGTACAATATTTTATAGAAACAATTATAAAATAGAAATTACATAACATAATGGTACCCCTTAATATTCGCATATTCCTTTTTTAAAAGCTAAATCATTTTAATTAAGATATTTGCAAGGATTTTATGCTTGCTCACCTATATTTTCTCCATATCATCATCTGCTATATCTATATCGATTTTGGAAGCCCTAACTAATTCCATCACTATATAAATTTTTTTTTGAGAACATCCATTTCCTTCAACACAACTTTCCGAGCAATATATTTGAAGCTTTTCTAGCTATCAATCATTTTTCCTCATGACAACATAATTATTTCTCTTTTTTTTAAAACAATACAAATGGTAATGATTACGTTTTTGTTTATGTTTATATAAACTTTCATGTTTTATTATTTGTAACATACTAAACATTTGATGTCTTCTGCAGATGATCCTAAACAAGACAAACAAACCAATGATGATTGTCATGTTTAATCACAAAATGTTGTTTTGATTCATACACAATTGTTCTATATAGATAATTGTATATTCTCTAAATACTTTTGTATAATTGAATTAGGCTTTGGAGAAGCTTCACCAGAGGCCAGCGAAGCATCTTCATGACTTTTTTACATACGTTGCAGTGAGGATAGTTTCTGGTCAGCTTGAGGTCGATCGATTTGATGATTTCTTTATTTATTTAATTTAGGTGTTTAGATTATAATAAATCTAAGTTATGGTGATTAATGACAGAGTTATAATCCTGAGGTGTATATGGGGTTGAGAGAATTTTTAGACACAAACTCTGTAAGTGACGGTGATAAATTCTGCGCCACTCTCATGCGTCGCTCTTCACGTCACATGAACTTAGGTACCAAAATAACACATTCTTTTAATAAATAAAACATACAAAATTTGTTTATGCATCATTCAAAATTTGTTTTCTTAAGTTTATGCATCATACAAATTTGTTTTCTTCATAGTGATTTAGACGACATCTCTTTCTTTTTTCCAAAAATTATATTCCTGCAATGAAACATTTCACTAAATAACACAACTAAAATATTCGTGAAAGTCTTCTAAAAACAAACATCTTAAAAATTGTATGACGAAACACAATTCCACCATTTTGCAGATTACTAAACAAAGTCATTTTATAGATCCGTATGCTTCGTATATCTTTTATGTATGCGTATTTTTGATATAAGATAAGTAAACTAAAAACTTTATTTTTTGGTATCATGACCAATGCAACAAGCCCTTCGAATTTTAGAGGTAAGCTAAGCTTTTATTTTTTCTTCAATACATTTTCAAAAACACTTCTACATTCTTTTTCATCTTTACGTTTGTATTTACGGGTTGAAGCCTTTTGTTACCACGTATGTACGGTTTGCTTATATATATCTATATATTTTTTGCAAATGATTTTGGTCAAAAATCTTTGTGGATCGGATCATTGACCCAGTTTTATTGTGTTCAGATCCTGGATAACCATAATAAGAAAATTTAATAAAATAATAATAATTCTTGCATAAAAGTTTTCATTTCCTACCAAAAACATTAATTAAAAACGACATTAACAAAACAATATACTTTAAAATTTCAAATTTTTAGTTATAAAATATTTTTTGCGGTGTACCATATATTTAATCAAATAAAACAATAGCATATATCTATAGATCATCCTAAAAAAAATTTAAAAGTTTATTTAATAAAAATATAGGCCCGCGGTGTACCGCGGGTTAACATCTAGTTTATATACAATAGTCTTTCCTAATCCTAGATAAATTCGTATCATAGAAGATATTATTGACATATTTTTGTATATATCCTAATAATTTCTTTTGACTTTTTTCTATAAGTCGGCCACGCAAAAAAAAAAAGGAAACTAGAGAATATAAAAATTACAAGTTGCAAAGGAAACAAAGAAAGCTCATCTTTGGCTCTATAAAGAGGGGATGTCTCATAACTTTTAAGGATCAGCAGCCAAACAAGAAATACAAGAGAGAGAGAAGTAGAGAAAGAGCAAGAGAGATATCAAGAGAGAAGTTCGAGTCTTCTTCTTCGTGTGCTCCGAAGTTATGGGAGAACGTAAATACCTAAACAAGTATTATCCGCCAGATTTTGATCCGAAGAAGATACATCGCATCAAGAAACCGAAGAACCAGCAGAAAAAGATTCGATTTATGCTTCCAGTGCGTGTTCGCTGCAACACATGTGGTAATTACATGTCGGAAGGCACCAAATTCAATTGCCGTGATGAAGACGTCATCACCGAGACGTATCTAGGTATTAAAATCCATAGGTTCTACATCAAGTGCACTAAATGCTTGGCAGAGGTAACAATTAAAACCGATCCAAGGAACGATAGTTATACTGTCGAATCAGGTGCAAGTTGCCTTTATAATGGGCACGAGAAGGAGAAGAAGAAGAAGCAAGAGGAAACAGAAAACGCATTGGAATCATTAGAGAAGAGAACTGTGGTATCTAAAAGGGAGATTGAAGTTATGGCTGGGCTTGATGAGTTGAAATCTATGAAGTCTAGACGAGCCTCAGTGAGCGTAGACTCCATGCTTGAGGCTTTGAGTAGAAGAAAAAAACAAGAAGAAGAGAAGGTGGAGGAAGAATTGCTTATCAAGTCAATACAATTTGGTAAGCGGAGTAGGATTGATGAAGAGAAAAACTATGAGAAGAAGAAGCCTAAGAGACGTGAATCCGGTAAATTTCCCATTAAAATCTCTTCTGTTTGCATAATCTCGAAGAAGACGGGACTCGAATCTCTGTGTCACAACTATGGCACCGACAGTGATGAGGAGAAGTGAATTTGGGGTTTTTTTTTTGGTAATTGATTTAAGTGAATCAGTTATTGCTATGGCTTAATTTTTAAAACAAATCCAGGATTATGTTAATTAGATTTTGTATAGATATTTTAGTTAGCCTTATCAATTTGTTTTTTTTTTTCTTTTTTTGTAGTTCCGCAACAGAATGACGGTAGATTAATAATAGTATAGTCCATGCTTTTTTCAAAGACAAATTTTGCATGATCATCTTTTTTTTTTAATTCTTTAGAATATGATATATGAAGTCGATATATGAAGTCCATCGTTCGAAGATCATTGCTATAAAAAAATTGGTTGACACGAATGTTTTTAAATCCGACCCGAACGGTGAATTGGACTACTTTTTGGATCACTGAGTTACATGATCAACCGGATTCGATCATGAATCTATTGATTAAATTTGTTTAGTATGTTTAAAATTTATAGAAATTATGTAGTTTTATAAATATAAAACTAAAAACAATCATACCATGTTTAACAAAATATAAATTCTAATAATAATAATATAGTTGCTAAAATTTTTATATCCAACTAAAACCGTAAAAAAAATATAATAATATAAGATAGTGAACACGAAGAACTGAAAAAAGTTTTAAAAATAAATAAATAGTGAATACACTAAAAGCCTAAAACTCTGTATTTTAGTCGTGGTTAAAGGCGATTTTTGTGGGTTTTTCTAGTTTTTAATTTGCCAGATATATATTAGCATTAACTTCAAACCGGAGAAATGTCCAATCACGGGTTAATCGGTCGGACCAAATAGTTTGGGTAGGACGTAAAACACTGATTGACACATGACTTTTTTTTTTTTGATACATGACTTTTATTATTAGTAAAATTATGTAACATCCTACTCCCACATTATTGGGCCAATTTGTTTTGACATTATGAAGGAGCCCATGAATGGCCCAATCTTTAGTGAAAAATGACAAGGGTTTGGTAACATGGGAATATATATTGGTGTATGTGAAACTCTTCAGGGAAGCCGTCAAAGAGAAACGTGAAACCTAAACCTACAAGCAGACCATCACTTATTCATTAAGACTTGAGAAGTTATAGTCGTACTCTTGTCTTTGAAGTTATTGGTAAAGAGATCATCGTTGTTGTCATGGTGATCAATCATCCGAGGAGGGATGTGAGAGAGAGCTGAACCACCAATGGAGAAATAGGACTCGATCTAGCAGAATGAACGTGATTTGGCTTGAGGAGAAAGAGAACAATGAGAAGAGAAGGGTATCAGGAGAAAGAAGCGAAGATGCAGGCGTAACGTCGCAGAGGAGAAGAAATCACCACCACCACGAATATAAATCATTTAGAGAGGAAAATCTAGTTTATAATACTAAGGAGAAATGGAGACAGAAGAAGATCAGAGCTGATCCAAACAGAATAGAAGCAAAGAGGAAAGAGGAAGAACAGTTTCAAGAGGGCGTCTTGCAAGGAGAATTCCCAACAGACCAGAGAGATTCAGATCACAAGTAAGGCATCTATGGAAAGGTCCCGTTTGTCAAGAATCCACATCAGCTGATGGAGTTTGAATCGAGTTTATATTCGAGAAGTGATGCATGTTTCTTCCAGGACAAGGAACTACAGAAAACAGTTTCGTATTGGCATCTTTGAGGCAACGTTTGGAGGTCTGAAACCATGCTGATCAGGACGAAATTTGGTGGAGAGGTCCATGACACTACTGGCTAAATATTCAACGGTGGGATTACGTTTCTATCGGTTATTTATTGATTTATACATATCTTTCCGAGACAGTTTGGTTTAGAGTATATGGTAACAAGGTTGTATTGTTTGTCAGGTAAATGAGCTCGGTTTGAGCTGAAACCTTGCAGGGGGCTTCATGAGTCATCGGCTTAGGTCTTTGTTGATGGAGAACTAAAATGGAGCTCAAGAGCATGTGGGTAAAGATGTTGTAGTAAAGTTGTTTAAAGGTGAAGTGAATTGTTATCATCAAAAGGCTAAGGTGAGGGTGGTATTTGCGAAGCATAGTATCATTTTTTTTGTTATACTTCTTGACACATGATATGTAGGCTTAGATCTGATTGTATAAGATAAGATTATGTGATGATATGACTTGATGATTGTTGAGTTTGAGATGTGTTAGTATGATGTTTGATAAGGTGATGTTATGTATGAGAATGTTAAGTATGATTAATTATGAGTATGTATGTTTGATGTATGTATGACTGGAGAGAATCGAGCTATGGGCCGTGGTCTCCCTAGTAATGATGGACAGTGATGGACCGACGGGTTAACAACTGGTCAAGAACGACTGACGAGCCTAGAATGGGAGTGTCTGAGCCACAAGAAGATGAGTTTAAAAGAGGAAGAAGCTAGAGAGGCAAGAGCCCTAGAAGAATGATAAGTATATAATCCTCTTTAATTTGTTCTATTGTGGGCTGGACCTGTTTTCGTGGGCCGAATTTTTGTGTCTTAGTATTCTCCAATACTAAACTACAGTATTGAGAAGAAATATTTTGCAAGTTTAATTTGACTCATTCTGTCTTTTGTAGCCCAAATTTGTGTGTCTTAGTATTCTCTAATACCAAATTCTTCACTTCCAATTTGTAGAAGCCAGATCATGCACCTCGGCTCGTGTTTTTTTTTTTCGTGGCATTCGACATGTGGTTATGGACTTAAATACTAGTATGGTTTGTTCGAACGGAGAATCACAAAAGATGAATAGGAGGAAGCTGCATAAGATTGGATTGAAGACCGATGCTAAATAAATCCATCTTAAATTATTATATATTATTAAGATATCCATCTTAATATATATTTATGTTAAAAAAAAAAAAAAAAAAAAAAAAAAAAAAAAAAAAAAAAAAAAAAAAATCCATCTTAAATATATCTCGCATACAATTTTGGAAAAGAATATTATATATATAATTCATAGTTTGAAGATCAATGCTAAAACAATGTGGTTGACATATGACTTTAATTCTATTAGTAAAAATAACTCATACAATACATATCAAACTTAGAGAACTTGTAGTTCAATTATCACCAAAACCATATACAAAATAGTAAACATCAAGAAAAATAATAATGTGTAGTATAATAGATATGATGTATGAAAAGGTAATATAAAAACATCCGATCAAACATGATTAATTTACGAGACTAGACCAGCAATGAACGTGATACCAGTAGATGGTAACCACAGGTTCCCTTGTATGAGTTGAGAGACCGTAAAATTATTAGCCTCGGCCGGAGTATTCAACACATGGTATCCTGGCCACTTAACACGGCGGTCAAGACTAGCACCCGGTCCGCTATTCATATACTCACCATAATATAATGTATCCAACGCAAAATTTCCGTTCCATTCGAGCCATCCTTCGGGGTTAATTGCATCGCTCATGTAGTTTTGCATGAACACCGTTCTAGAATATAATTTCCACGGTCGACCTAAGTAAGTAGCGGTAGTATTTGAGTTTGGAAGTAGGTCGGTATCAGCCGCTATATTGCTGAATTGGATTGTGAATCCGGTTGGCTCATTTGGATCCTTACGTCCTTGCGCCGTGATGCTATTCTTCTGGTTTGGAAGGCCTTGTTTGGCTTTGATTTGGCAACTTTGGAATACGGCAGTGGCGTCTCCGAATATAAAGTCTACAGTGCCTGTTATAATGCATTCTCTAAAGAATTGACGCATTGAATGGGCATAGAGAGTGTCTTGGTAACCTCTCATCGCGCATCGATAAAAGACCCCCAGATCCGTATCGGATCGGATTGCGACTGCTTGGTGCTTTTCCGGTCCTGCTGTGTTTTGGAATGTGATATCGCGCCCAATAAACCCTCTACCGCTCACAGCTGCCAAATATTTTTATATCCGATTCAAAATCTTCATCAATATTTAGAAGAAAAAAAAAACTTACTAGGTAGGATACTATAAATTTGCACTTACCAAAAGTAGCTGACCGAAAAGTAGTCCAGCCGTCGATGAAACTCCGGTTACCGGTGATCACGGTGGCATCGATGCCATCACCAACAATCATAATGTTCCATTTCTTCTTCTTAATCTCCACATTCTCCTCATATACACCTCTTTTCACATGTATCACATATCTTTTGGTACTATAATCCGGTGCAGCCAACACTGCGTCACTTATCGTCGTGAAATTTCCGGTCCCGTCTGCGGCTACAACCGCGTCAGCAACCGTTATGTTATCAGTTTGCAACAACTTCCGATCACCGGGTTTAACCCACGAGGGAAACTTACTGAAGCCACTATGAGCTTTTGTCATTGTGTGGGCTTTAATGGGCTTGGGTTTGGGCTTAGAGGGAGGAGAGTGAACCATCGTTAGTAGATTTCGGACGGTCGTACCGACCCGGCTAAGACCACCAGCCACTATCTTTTTGATAATTCCATTAGTGCCCTCGAAGCCGTCAAGACACGTGTCCTGGTTAGAAAGTGCGGCGCTTATCCATGTCCTTAGATCCGAACCCACGTCCCCTGTACTGTTGTCTTTACCTGACAGTGACAGTTTAATGTACATTTATTTTGCATTCTTTTACATTTTAAAACTTATAATAATGTATAGAAATTGTTTTTGAAAAACAACTTTTGAGAAAGTATTAGACAATTAATAAAGAATTGGCTAAGATTATTGTTTGATTTTAGCCAACAATTTCAGCCGATATTACTTTAGAGTTTGATTTTTATATGTTTTGTTTTCGTGAAGTTAATTTTGGTATGTGTTTCGGTAGACTTTATTTTAATATAATGTGTAGTCCTTTTATTTCTTTCCAGAATCTTAGTTAATTAATTTGAAACACATCATGTGAGTTGGCCACAAAAACTATATTCAAGATCCACATAAATGTAAGGTTTTTTAAAAAAAGGAAAAAAAATAAAAATAAAAATAAGTTTATTCAACTTTTTCCCTTAAAAGGGCAATATTTCAATTTTCAAGGTTTTCTTTTGAGCAAAATATTCCATTCCCACGTCGAAGATTAATCACCGATATTAGAATGTCCCACATTGCTTGGGATTAAGATCTTTGGGTAATATATAAAGGATGTGGCAATCCTTAACTCTTGAGCTAGCTTTTGGGTTAAGTTAGGCCACATTCCTAATAACCGACGATAAGATACCAAATCACTTTCTTCTTTAAAGAAAAAAAGCTCTGCGAATCCGATTCAGCAGAAAAAGTCTCAAAGTTGTCAAATATTTATATTAACAAAAAAAAGTTATCAAATATTTAAGAGAAAAGGAAAAAATAGGTCGTTCGTGTCCAGTGATGCTTAATAAATGGACTTCTCTAATGTTCCGTCGGTTACTAATTATACAGTACTAGTTCGAGTCAGAGGAAAATTTAACTTCAAAAATGGACTTGATAGTAAAGCTAGTTTTGCACCTAATAAAGCTCTTTTTTCTATATCGTATCTTTATCTTCTTTTTTTTGTTGACATTTTGGTATTGATAAATTCGGTGGAAATTTATGTAAAAAAAAAAACTATATAATTTGCATCACCACGTAAACTGAATTTTCCTCGTTGAGTTCTGTAACTATGTATTTAAGTTGGTAAATCTTGTTGAAAATTGTGTCGTTTCAAATTATATTATATCTAGTCTTTTATATTAATTTAAAGACTCATATTTTGCATGCAAAAAGAAAAAGAAAAAGAAAAAGACTAGTAGTTAAAATTATATTTACCGTTGGGATTTTGAGAGGCAGAGATGATCCAAGAAAGCTCTTCGGCGGCAGAATCAAGAAGATCAACACAATCAAGAATCGCATTGGACACTCGTGACTTCCCGAGTTTCTTGTCGAACTTGGACACTATAGCTACCGCTTTTTGGATAGCATCAACGACGGTTTTGGCCGCTTGGGCGAACTCTAACGGCGGGACTTTCAAACACTCCATTTGAACTAACCCGGTAGAAGAAAACGCCTCTTTGTGGGCGGAACATAAAGAGATGATAATAAGAAAGAAGAAGAAGATTGATGAACCCATTTGTCGGAACTTCGCCATCTATCTCCGGTAGAATCTTGCAAAGATAGTGGAAGTTGAAGATGAAACAAGAGTGTCTCTCTCACACTCTATAAGATCCTTTGTGAAGAGTGAAGGTAAGTGATGATGTGTGATGTTATTTATTAGAGAGAGAGAGAGGGTAATGGCTACTTGGCTAGGCAAGAAAAAAGATGACCTACCCTTGCTTTTTATACCATCGGTTATGGATGAAATTAGGAATTTTTTTTTTATATTTTAACTCGAATTATTGGATTTGGACTTGTTTTCCCGGGAAAAATAAATGTCACTGAGAGAGTTTGATATTTGTTCAAAATTTGTCGGACGCACATCTACATGTTTGGATAAACGTTACTGATTAGACTTGTGGGTGCCATTATTTTGCTAAGCAAATTTTCTCTAAAGTATAACAACGTCTTACAATGACATTTAACCTAGTGATACGCTATTTATGTGTAATCATTCTATTTAAGACCTGACTAAAACATATAACCTAATGATTTGTGTTGTCTTATCGAACAACGCATAATGAATCTAAACTACGAATATAGATTCGAGCTCTTAATTTATTACTCGAGAGCTAAAAAAAAAAATGTACCAAATGGGGTGGCATAAAAAACGTGGACAACCGGGACCACCGTTAACACAGCAACGATTGTGATCTGAAGAAATTTGGGACAATCTCCGACCGTGATCCAATCTACACGTGTCCTCTCGTCTGTACTACTAACATTGATGACTGTTTCTAAAATTATCTTACAAATTAAATTATTTTTTCTCGACATAAAAGTTCTCAATGCAATGCACAAAAATAAAAAATAGTGTACAATCAGTTTCGAGGTATCTTATTAGAATATTATTATGCATGTATATTAATTATTTATTTTGTAAAATTAAACCCACATTTATCGCATTTGATTCTAAAAAAAATAAAAAAAAAAAAATTGTATTGTATTGAATATTTGAATATCTAGTTCATATAACTTGGTTTATCTTGCCAATTTGTTTTTTTGGTTGGAATGTCTTGCCTAATTTATCAGTGAGAAACATTTTTTTTATGTAGGTTTTACGTTGTAGTTTTCTACCTCAAATAAGTCAGTAAATGATAGTAATTCTTTTAGAAAACACAAATAAAAATAAGAAAGATAGAACATAAAAATAAATATAAAAGCGAGGCCAAAGAAGGCTCGAATTTGAGGTTTGAAAATGTTATAATAAATACTAAATAATATTTGGTTTGAGTTACATTGTGTAATTCAATGTTTTGTTGCTGTTCATTTCTAATAACATCCTTTTACATCCTTTCATTAATTATTTGTTCGTTTAGAAAACTCAGAACCACATAGATAATTAAAAGCTTCCAAATATTAATGTCTCATTCATTGATCTTGTAAGAAAATGGAATTGTCTTCTGCAAATAGAGAAAGTGAAAGCAGAAATGTCGGTTTTGGAATTCAAAAAAGAGTTGAAAAAGAGTCAAGTGTCGGTTCCTCACATTTCAAATCACACTTGTTTTTGTGTTACACTGTTAGTATCTTTGGTGGGTCTAAATTCCTATCTCTTGATCAATTTATCGTTGACTAATGCATGCATTTTTGTCGTCAATTTTTTTTTTTTATCGCTTCTAAGATATGAAGACCGTCCTTTGGATTTAACCTCAATTTTGTTTTATTCAAGCTTCGAGAAAAACGGGAGCTGGTTATGTCCAAACCGACTTTAATTAAGTTTGGATCCAGTCACTATTTAGTTAGTTGAGTGAATATGATACTACTAAAGTATTTTGAGCAAAACAATATGAAAATAAAAAAGAAAGCAAAAAACGCGTTTAATAACTTTGAATCCTTTTTTGGCCATCATGTGCGCGGTCACTTTCCATGCAAATTACGTATTATATGATAGAGAACTTTTTAATTATATGAGTTTTTTTTTTTTTTTTTGTTAAAATTTTAATTATATGAGTTTGCTTGTAATTTTCAACGTCTAGTTAATTAATAAGACCGTGCTTTAAATTTTCTTATAGTAAAACCAAAACTAAACAGAATTAAAATAAATTTAGATTTAACTTCAATTCCACTTTACTCCAGCTTCGGAAAATACCGGTGATGGTTATGTTCAAACCGACCTCAAGTAGGATCCATTCACTATTTACTTATTTGAGTGAATATGATACTAAAAATATCTATAGTTTTGTCAAAAGTTTTGAGCATACACAACATAAAAAAATAAAGCAAAAACGCGTTTAATAACTTTGAATCCTTTTGTGGCAATCAATCATCATGTGCGCAAATCACTTTCCAATATTTCATGCAAATGCAAAGTAATTAATTAAAATCGGTGCTTTTGCTTTGGCATGCATGATCATCTTATCTCCTTCTTTGTCTCTTGAGATTAAACCACTCTCTAGCCAACACGTGTTGCATCTTTATTGGGGGGTTTTGCAGAATGTTAATAAGAGATAGTTTTTTATTTAAATATATTATTATATTAGAATCCGTTATTACATATTTTTTTTTTTTTTGTCGTCTGGATTTATTATTTATTGCAAATTATGAGAACTGTTACATAGACGATTCTACAACGGACAATTCCTTCCGACCCTTATTAGATTCACGACAGATGACACCTCTTTCACCTCCTTCTTCATGCTCACCTCCTTCACCTCATTCTTCATGCTCTTGAAGGACACTTCCTATCTGCGTAGAATCCTGGCGAACGGCTATAATTGTACATCGCTGGAGATCTCCTGCACACTTGCCTCCAATAATCTGCAAATTTATTAATAAATCGCATTCTCTGGGACTCGAACCCCAGACCTCTGGATGTAGAAGCATTAATTAACCCTTGGTCAACCAATGGGCCAAGGGGGCTTCCTATTACATATTTTTAATTTAGTTTTTTTTCAGTTGATCTATGTTTAAATATATAACAGCTCAGATTACATATTTACGTTATTAGTAGACTAATAAATTAAATTATATATAAAGAGATTATTTTTTTCAAACAATTTACATTAATGTTTTTGAAATATGGAACCATTAACTGTAATTTCAAAAGATGAACTAGTACTAGCCAAATCGATCAAACATATGGTTCGTCTAGAAAACAGAATAGCAACACAAAAACAATAGTTAAATCATAGTAGAAAATATCTTATTTTCACACATTTTTACGTACGTTGTTCGTTTGATTTTGACTTTTTTTCCTTCCCTTTTAGTTTAAAAATACCATGAAGAGTTGACAGGTTTGTGATTCAGAAAACCAAAATAAGTGTCAAAAACTAAGTATATAACAATTGCAAAAAGATCTTACTAATATTTGCAAAAAAAATGCTTATTAGAAAATATCAATATGATAAGGACAAAATTTTATTCAATACTTTTAAAAATATACTTATTTGGTATTTGCATAGATAAATATATGTATTTAGCATTAAAAAAAAAACATATAAATTGAGTCACTGAGACTTCAATTTGTCACCCCAAGAAGTTCGCGAAATAGAACAAGACGATTTTGTTACTCCTTTAAGACGCCTAAAATGGCGATCGCAAATGAGCGACCAAATGGAAACGTTGTCATGCGTACGAGTTAGTTCAGATCAACTTACATACTAACTCATGGTTTTGGTTATCATACTTACATAAACTGCAAAAGCAACATTGAAATTGAGAAGGGAAGTTGTGTTTGATTAAACTATGGTAGCAAGCACCATTTAAGTCCACAATGTCTAGTAAACAACCAGTACTGTGACCAAAGAATACTTAAACTAAAGGGTTTCTGAATAACAGATTTACGACACTTCATATTAAAGATGGGAGCAAGAATCGCAAAGAAAAAAACAACTGATACGGGTATGAGTACCACTGGCAATTTAATCGGGATGTGCACTCTAATCAGGAGAAAAATCATTCCAATTTAGAAGAAAAAAAACAACCCAAACTGTTGGAAGTAAATGACATTGAGAGTGTTTTGCTTTGCCACAATATCATGGCGTATAGATCATTTACTGTTGCAAAAGTGGCTTCAATTGTGCTTTGAAAAGGTTGGCTAGTGCACCTCTTATGTCCATCTGCAGACAGAAACCTCATGAAGTTAGATCTACCGATTACATTTATAGACAAAGAAAGTTATGGATGGCTCGAAAGCCCAAAACTAACTCCGAAACCACGTTCAGTTGTGTGAGAAAAATCTAGAACAGAAACAAATTCAAAAACTTGCCTGTTCACAGCAAACGAGCCTTGTGAGCAGAGGGTAGAACTCTCTCATGTGTTTCCTGAATATTGTGTTGTTCATGAAGCACATGCCTTCCAAAACCTGGAACGACAATGACATATGAAAATTATCCTTTCTATCATAGATTTTATAGTCTCAGTGACAAATGTGTAAACAATTAAGATGTATATTACCTTCACAATCACAGGAGAACGCAGTTCCAGTACCCGATGGACATCCATGTTAGTAGTCTCCCCCAAAGTGGACTGGAGATCAGATGTTTCTTTCAGCACCTGTTCACAGAACGATACCAATTTTTCTTCTGCTGCACCTTCTAGTCTATCTTCCGAGTTAGATGCCTCATCTGCAAGCCCAGAAGTTGTCTTTTGCAAGACGTCCAAATATATGGTGGTTCCTTCCAGCTCTTGCCGGAGAAGGTTTAAAGGTGGCCTATTAAAAATAGTTATTAGTTCAAATTCTGAATAAGGAGGATAAAAATATCAATTTATAACTCTGTCCAAAGTCTCCGTCACTAACCTCTCAGCGGGAATGTGATTCATACGTGTTCTGAGATTATAATATGAATTGTAGGAAGAAGCAAATTCTATGAAAGAGAATAAGATGTCCATAATCGCAATCTTCTGTAGTGTTTTCAAATTACTCCAGTATTTTTGCTGCAGAATTAACATCAAACAAGAAAGATGCAACTGTCAGTTCACAACACCACGCACATTCCCCCTGAAGCTTACTGGGGATCACATGTTCAGGAATGAGAGTGTTTGCTTAAGACCATACAACATAG